TTAAGAAAACCACGTATGGTTGCAGTTGGATAATAATACCTTGCATGGTTTGCATCATTAACTCATGATGTTGGAATCGTTTTGAAACGTGTGTTTGTGATCAGGTTCTCCATCCTTATCTTCGGTAAGAGATTACAACTTTTTTGTGATATGTGTTCACTAGATTTTGTGTTATATTTTGTATGTAGTTGGGTTTCTACAAGATGAAGTGGACTAGGGTTTAAAGCTTTGATCTTTGTTGTGATTACGATATGGTTTCATTAGTTTTTGTGTTAGATTCTGTCTGTTGTTGGGATTCTAAAAGATGAAGTGGATCTGATGGTGTCTGTGATGAAAGCTAAGAAGGGGTCGTCTGCTGACATTGGAGGTTTAGAAGCTCAGTTTCAGGAGATTAAAGAAGCTGTTGAGTTGCCTCTAACTCATCCTGAGTTGTATGAAGATATTGGTATTAAACCGCTCAAGGGTGTGATTTTGTATGGTGAGCCAGAAACTGGGAAGACACTGCTTGCTATGGTTTGCTTTTCTACCTATAATATAGAAAGTATTAGCATCTGTTAGGAGTACTGCTTAGTGTCCTATTTAAGTTTCAATAACATTAAATGTTTTGTTGAGTTGAATCTAGAGTAGCCTGCCAAGGAGAGTCTCTCTGATTGCAACATAATTCTTTCTGTTATCTATTTGAAAAACAATTGTGAGGCTAGCTCTAAGCAGAAATATTTCAGACGGCCAAACCTTTATTGTGATGGTCACTTGGATTTTAGAAATTAAATTATAGCCAGAATAGAATAATGATATTTTGAATCATTTGGATTCGTTTACTGACTTTTTTTTATTTGTAATAAGTATGCAAGTGTTGTTTCAACGTGCATGTTATTATTTTAGTTTTGAACCATGTGGGAGTGAGCTGTTGTATCTTTGTTTTCTTTCAGGCGGTGGCTAACTCTACATCAACTACTTTCTTGAGAGTTGTTGGTAGTGAACTGATTCAGAAATATTTGGGAGATGGTCCCACGCTTGTGAGAGAGCTTTTTCAGAGTTGATGATGATCTTTGCTATCAATCGTTTTCATACATGAGATTGATGCTGTTGGTTACATGCTTATTACCAAAAAAAAAAGATTCCTGAAAAGTACAATCCGGCCACTTGGATGCTTGAAGCTAGCTCCCTTGCCGCCGAGTTGAAACTTGGAGTTGACTTTGCTGAGCTATACAACAACTCTTCTTTATGCCAGTGAGTAACACAACAATATATCTTTTAATCGGTACCGTCTTTTGGCAAATAGGAGGTAAGAGATCAAACGTACGAGAGCTGACGATGGTGTTAGAAGCAATCTACACAGCAGTGTTCAACAGTGCAACCAATGGTTGCAGTGGAGCGTACTGTGTTTTAACGAGAGAAAGCAGCAGGGATGTATTCAGCAATACCTTACGCCATCTCTCAAGTGACTTGTGAGATACCATATGTCTTTGTTCAGACCAAGTACTATTCACTTATCGTCTCCGCGATGGTCGGATTCGAGTGGAAAGCTTCAAGTTCTTATGGCTCCTCTTCATTAACTACTTCTCATTCCTCTATTGGACTTACTATGGCATGATGACTGTCTCACTCACACCTAACCAGCAAGTTGCTTCTATCTTCGCATCAGCCTTTTATGGTATTTTGAATCTATTCTCTGGCTTCTTCATCCCAACCCAAGATTCTTAAGTGGTGGATATGGTACTATTGGATCTACCCTGTTGCTTGGACTGTATGCAGTTTGATCACCTCTCAGTATGTTGATGTTGGCACTCCCATCTCTCTCCCTGGGATAATTAATTGTCATTCTCACCTCATGTATACTTCATATTTGCTATCTTCTTCGTACTAGAACCAGAAGATTTAACAAAGTAGTTCTCAAGTTTTTTATTTGTTTGTTATAAAAACTATTGGTTTGCGATGAATGCTTTTCTCTACGTGTTAGAGTGATGATGAAGTATTGTTCTTTTACCTAAACATGAGCTTTTCTTTTTATAGTTCAATGGTAGGTAATGGTTTAAAGTAAAATTGAATTTGAATTATAAAACCAAAGCTGAAGTCTCATGTCTACATTAAACAAGTGCGGAGAAGATGAACCAGAAATAGAAACTATCATGATTGATGGAGAAATGAAAATGAGTGAAATAATTGCCTACATTTTTGACATTAAACAATTATATTTTTAGCTGAGTTGCCAAAAATACAAGTTCTTCAATTTGTTTAAACAATTAAACAAATATTAATTTTATTTTACCAAAAATACAAGTTCTTAAATTTCTTTTATCAAAAAGGAATCAAAACTTTGTAAGTTATTTATGGAAAAAGACTGGCAAGTTGTCTACAAAATTACAATTTTTTTTCTTCTACGAAACACCATTACCAACCAAAGGTGTTATTTACCAACTTCACCTAATATAAGCGAAAGAAATAACAATTATAGTTCTTACAACATATCAAGTCTTTACAAAATTCATTAGGCAACAAATTGGATCATTTTGAATAAACAACGACAATTTAAAATATTTCAATTTAATAATATAAATGATAAAGAGAATAATTTAACACCTAAAATTATTATATACTCCATTCGTTTCATTTTAGTTTTCGGTCTAGGTCATACGCATAGATTATGAAAAAATTTAATTTATTTATTTTAAAAATAAAAATAATTACATATACACCTAATCATATTTCAATCAATAGAAAAATTGCCAGGAGAATAATGTTAAGAAATTTTGCATTAAAATTTTAAATCGATATTTATCTTGAAACAAAAATTTTATTGTACAAATACAATCAAACTAAAACCGAGGAGGTCACATACTATCATTTTTTGTATATTATGCGGAAAATAAACTCATATTCAATTTCCTATGGGTTACTTCCATTTAAAATTCAATTTTTTGTGAATATACAACTATTCAAAAAATTAGAGTAACAATAATATGATGTCATATAATATTATAACATACTAAACCTTTGTTAAAGTTCTAAATGATACAATTCATTCTCTAAATTTGGAAACATTTATGAATTTTATGATGTATTCTTACCGAATGAAATGAAACCAATACATCAAATATACAATAAAAACAATACAAGAAATATATGTAACATAAATTATAGTGTATATTACAATATAATCCGCGCGTAGCGCGGAAAAGACCCTAGTTTCTATTAATAACTAATTATAAAGTGGTGAAATAATATATCTAGAATATTTATTTTTGAAGAAGAAAACAATGAAACTTATTGAAGAATGGGAGAATTTCAATTATACCACTTTGGTGGAATGTTTACCATCAACAAAGGAACATTTTTAAAAATACACATTTTATTAAAAGATAAAAGACTCATATATCATTGTTCTTTATATATATACATAAAATAAATATTAAATAAAATATTAACCTTAAACCTTAAAATATCAACTCTAAACTCTAGACCCTAAAAAGTAAACCCTAAACCCTAAAAATCAACCCTAAATCCTAAAATATCAATTCTAAACCTTAAACCCTAAACTCTAAACCCTAAAAAGTAAACCCTAAACCCTAAAAAAACAACACTAAACCCTAAACTATAAATCCTAAACCCAAAACCCTAAACCCTAAATCTCTATAATATTATTTGAGAAGTCACTTTCCTACGTGTCGCGCTCACGTTAACTCTCACGATGGTTGATTACATAGATACCCTTAATGAACTAAAACTTTTAAATAAAATTGATATTAATAATGTATTTCCTTTTTTCATAATAAGATTTTACTTAATTTTTTAATATAATTTTACTTTTTAAAAACACATAAATAAAAAAGGAAATAGTTATGAAATATAAATCTTTATATATAGACGAAATTTAATAATTTTTACGAACTGATATTAATAATCTATTTACTTTTTTATAATAAGATTTTACTTAATTTTTTAATATAAGATTACTTTTTTAAAACACATAAATAAAAAAGGAAATATTTATGAATATAAATCTTTATATATAAACGAAATTTAATATATTTTTTTTGAAATTTTCCTAAAATAACATGTTTAGTGTTTATTGAGATAATAAAAAGGAAAGCAAAAATATTTTTGAACAAAAATAAATATTTTGATCAAATAATTTCAAAATCCTTTTAAATAGCATAGCACTATACACTATTAATGAGATGGAAATATAATATTTTATCATTATTAAAACTTCTTTTTAATATTTCGTTTGCTTTTTAATTTTATGTTTGTGGAACTTAATATATAAATAATCAAAATACTCAAGTAAATCTAAGTTCTCATTTTTAAGATTGTTTAAAATACGTTTTAGATTACCTTTTAAGAGACCTAAGACATAAAATAATTTAAATTTGATAAATATTTAATTATTGTAAATATTACTATGCGCTCATGAAATTTCAAAAGTTTATCTTTATACTCATATTTAAGTATGTAAATTCTTATTAATCGTCAATTTATTTTTAATATTTCTTAAAAATCAACATATATCCAATTATTAAAAATAATATAAAAATACTTGCATTAAACGAAAAATAAAACTAATTTTTATTTGATTTAATTAGAACAAAAATAATTATATTTTCATTTAAATTAGCAAATATATATAACTCAATATACTCACAAAACGAGTAACAGAAAGAATCTAACTTATATCCAAAATAAAAGATCTAACTACAACAAGAACATATAATTTTAGAATATTTATTTATTTATTTTTATACATATAGATTACAGGATGGCTCAAAAATATCAATATGTAAAAATAAATTATTAACCAACTGTTATAATTCAGTTTTTTTTTGTAAAATTTATTTTTATGAATGAGACTTCAGAATATTATCGTTATATTCATTTATGTAATTTTGAATCAAAATTTTAGTTTATTTTTAATTTCATTATAAGCATGATATATACATATATATATATAATTATACATAATCTTAATAAAATATATTTACATATATAAGATGATAACTAATCTAAATGCAATAATAATCAAAGTTTTAGTATATTTAGAATAAAAATATTATAGTTAAATTCAGAAAAATAAATGCAATCTAAAATACACAAGTGTAACCAAATCGACTATTGACCAAAAAAACAACCAAACCGATTAAAACAATATAATATAAGTTATACATATAAACTATAAACTAATTTATATTAAAAGTAAACATCTATCTAAATTAATAAATTAGAATATACCATAATATATTACCACAATATATTTACTTGATAAATATTCATACCCGTGCATGAGCACGGGAAAACACCTAGTTCTAATAGTATTTAAAGTACTAAAATTTTAATGGTAAAGTTGGTTAGTGTAAAGTTGAAAAGTGGTATCTTGAAAGTGTTATTTTTGGCAATTTCCCTTGAAGAATATGTTGGTTCAATTTTTTGAAGAACATCATATTTTGATAAGATCACGAAGAATCAAGTTGGGCTTATTGAGTAAGGCCTTTTACGTTATCTGTTTTGTTAGAATGTTAAAGCCCATTTACTGTTTGTTTTCAGGTGATGGGTATGTGTGTTCACTGAACACTAGTGTCGACACTTTAAGGGAAAAAAAAGAAGAAGAGAGAAAGCGCCGACTGAAAGTTCATACGGTGGTTTCGTCTTGTTCTTCCTCACGCGCCATTCAGAAGGTCACTTCAATATAGCTCCTTTCTGGTTTCGTTTTCCGTTTAACTTTCTGCAAACTTAGCGATCTCCAATTCTCATTGTTAAATCTCAGACTTAGGGCATTAGAAAAATGGACTCGAATCAAAGGACTTTCGATAGGTTAAGCAGTCTACCTGATTCGTTGCTATGCAAGATACTCTCTGATATCCCCATCAAGGAATCGGTTCGCACAAGCGTCTTCTCAAAACGTTGGAGAAACCTCTGGTTGAGTGTTTCAGTTCTGGACTTGAATTCCAGAGAATTCTCAGATAATGACGCCTTTGAGAGTTTCATGTATAGGTTTCTGAGCTCTGAAAATGAACAACACTTGGAGAGATTCAAGCTGATGTATAAGGTTTGTGAGTATGACACATCTCATTTCAAGTCCTGGATCAATGCGGTTATTAGGCGTAGGGTTTTGTCATCTTCATGTTCATAATGATGTGGACGATGGTGTGTTCCGCAAGATGCCTCTGTCTCTCTATTCATGTCATAGATTGGTGAATTTAAATCTCTACGGCGTGTTCTTGGATCATCCTGAAGATTCTGTATCCTTGCCTTGTCTCAAGATTATGCATCTAGAGGTGGTCATCTACCACGGTGATTCCACTCTGGAGACATTAATATCGACCTGCTCTGTTCTCGAGGAGTTAACCATAGTCCGTTGTTTCAATGACTCTTTGGAAGTTGTGAGTGTGTGTTCCCAGTCACTAAAGAGCTTCAAAATAGATTGTAACGATAGTAAAGGTCGTGTTGTTGCAATTGAT